CCCAAAAAATTTTAAAGCTCTTCATCTATGCTGCTAAATTACCCTCCAGAAATGCATTACATAATGTAGTACATAATGTAACACTCTCCAGAAATGTAAATACATCCCTAAAAGCTGCATTAGACTAAGTTTTTTAAAAAGATTGATTTTGGAAGTAGTAGTGTGTGTGAGTCATTAGGAGAAAGAATAGAGCTTTCAATTTTATGGAAAGTTACCAAAGCAGTGCTGTTCTTTGTAGAAGGAATTTTCAAACCAGGAGTGCAGAATGTAGGTGCCAAGGGGGAATTCATATTCTCGGCATCTAGAAGACACAAGGGCAGAAAGAGAAGGATTTGAAAAAAAGGTAAAATAAAGATTTCACCTTTTAAATTATAAGCTTTGTCAATGTAATATGTGTACTTTATTTTTAATAACTTAAAAAAATTATAACTACATTGTGTGCCTGACTGGACAGGAAAAAACAAAACTGTCATATTCACATATGTAATTATCTTTAGCAATAATAAGAGTTAACCAAGGTTGCAAGGCATAAGAGCAATACACAATCATGAATAATTCTGAAATTTTGTAGCTATAAGAGCAACAAACTATTAAAAATATAATTTGAAAAAAATATTTTTTACAGTAGCAACAAAGAAGACAATATACGAATAAACAACTGTCTTTTACAGAGAAAATTATCAAAGTTCTGATGAAGAAAAAGGAGGATGAGGATTAAGAGAGGTCACCTGTCCTCCAAGATATNACAAACTATTAAAAATATAATTTGAAAAAAATATTTTTTACAGTAGCAACAAAGAAGACAAGATACGAATAAACAACTGTCTTTTACAGAGAAAATTATCTAAGTTCTGATGAAGAAAAAGGAGGATGAGGATTAAGAGAGGTCACCTGTCCTCCAAGATATCAGGGCCTACTCTAACATTATAGTAATTAAAAACAGTGCAATATTAACCATGGATGGAAAAAATTGTCTATTGGAACAAAAGAGAGACCCATACATATATAGAAATTTGCTATCTACAACATACAGTAGCATTAAAGCAATCTTAAACATCAAAGAGAAAAGGTAAATACATTAGAAAAATAATCTGATTGGCAAAATGTTTTAAGTCTAAAAATCATCAAATGCTGGAAAGGATGGAGAAGCAGGAACCTAAACACTACTGGTGAGAATATAAAGCAGACCAGCCACTCTTAGGTGGCAATTCAGCATTTTCTAGAACAAGTAAAGATGTGCATGCTCTTTGACCTAGAAATTCTACTCCTAGATTTAAGAAACACACATGTGCACAGGGGACAATTTCATTAAAGCACTGCCTGGAATAATAATAATAATAATAAAAGTAACTACCTCTTAATAAGCAGATACATAAAATTTGGTTTATTTATACAGTAAAATACTACTTACCAAGTAAAAAGGATGAAGTAGATTTATATGGATAAATACAAAAACATACTGTTGAGTGAAAAAAAAGCAGCAAAAGAATGTGAATTGGATGTCACAATGAATTGGATGCCACTCTTGTAAAATTATAAAACACAACTATGCTTTAGAAAAATCATTACTTTTGGAAGGAAAGGGAAAGAGAATAATGAAGTGTAGTTTGGGATTTAGTTTCATGTATGTTATTTCTTTTATTAAAAAAAGATCTGAAGGGCCGGCCTGTGGCTCACTCGGTAGAGTGCGGTGCTAATAACACCAAGGCCCCGGGTTC